AAAAATGCCTAATATTACTAATGCATGGCTTTCAAGGTTCTTCTTCTCTAATGCATTTGCCATTAACAGACAGTTAAACTTGTTTAGGTTTACAGCTAGGCTGCAATATCTGCGCCTTTTGGCCCAACACACATCCATTTCGTCAGCGGTCCTATATTAGCTGCCTTTTACAACAAGACTTTTTTGTTTATGTCCGGCAACAGGTTGTTTAAAAAATATTTTTTTTTCTATTTCATTACCCGCAAAACTACCTGGGATCACACAGAGAAAATGTCTTTTTACAATTGGACATCCTTTTAAATAGATTAGAGCAGGCAAAAATGCACTTTAGCATATAAAACGATGGCTACCACCTTACCTTTCCGCATAAAATGCTCATCTTTTGCTGGCAATCAATCCATCTTTAAGCCAATCAAAATTGACAGATTTATTGTTTTTCATGCTGTCAAAGCTACAGTGTTTTAACTATGGCATCAACATTTCCCCCTGATACAGTCGGGCTAGTAATAGAGCAATGTCCCTCACAGTTTTTGTGCAGGTCCGAAAAATGTCAGATTTGTAAACAAAATTATTAAGAACAAAAGTCCACGCTGAGAAACTATTCTAAGTCTCAAGTGGGTAAGTCTAGTTTCAGTTTTTCATAGCAAATGGGTCACCCCATCTTTGCTCCGCTCCTGTGCCAACTTAAAACACACAGAATGTTTTTATCACAGAATTGAAAGATTGACAGACTTCTGTCTCAGCATATCTAGCATACACTCGCATTAAAGCATATGGTAGCCATCCGAACAGTGCTAACACAAAACAACATTAGAAATGCAGTTCATCATTGATGGTAGCAGAAAGTCGCCAACAGATCAGCAGTTTGCCCATGCGATCAATTTTAAATCACATATGGGCACCACCAACATTGCACAACAGGCATCACGCCATTTTCTGAATCTACAATTCACACCACCACGTTGGTCACAGTCGAAAAAAACTTTCAAATGTATCCGCAGCTCACAGTCAGTTCACGCCATGCATTCAACTCATAGCTGGGTGAACGAAACTAAATCCAGTCTACAAGGGAGCAAATGCATCGGCCACCATCCGGAAGCAAAAAATTTGCCTCTGCTTTCGAACAGTGCTGCTGCCTAGCGTCCATTTTTGATCGGAAGCCATTTTCATATTATAATCTCAACTAACTGGAAATGTTCATTGATTAGCTTTGTAAATGATACAGTTTTTCAGTTTGGTAGTAGCATTTGGTTGCTTTGTATATGATATGATTGTTCAGTTGGGTAAATTGCATGGCTGATTGATTTTATAGCTGATTGTTTGCATGGTAGGTTGATGGCTAATTGTTTTTCATGGCAGATTGCATGGTTGATTGGCTGCTTGCTGTGCAACTGGTTTAAAGGCTAGTTGTATGGCTAACTGGATCGCATGCTTTAGTTGGATTGATGGCCACCTGCCGTCCTTTAGAATAAAATAATTTCCACACTAATCTGACATACTCCCAACACAGTTCACATACGCTCAGACATGGACATGCCCTCTAAGAAGAACACATAATATGTGTAGACACTGTTTTGCCAGATCAGATACTTAAGTATAATCTATAACAGGATATGCCCCTGCATGGGCTCCAGGGAGACCATTTTTGTTAACCAAAAAAAAAAAAAAAAATTGACCGATGGTTCCCATGCTGTAATGGATGACTAATTAGGAGTTCGCTGAGTTTGTTGAGCTGAAAGCTAGAGTGCATCTGCAACACAAATAAGCGATATATGTAAATGGATGTGCATGCAAACTCAAATTCCTTGAACAGACAAAAGTCCAGAAGTGCATGAACAACCAGAACTTTCCGCTGGAGTCACAAATTCAGCAGTGGATGCACTGCACCAAACTTCATTGTGAAGATGTCACAACATTTATTTAATAAAAAAATTTTTGTAGCTGTTAAAATGAGTTAGTCGAGGTTTCAACATTATTGCAGACATGTTGCCCCATAACTGCTGCATTCCTGTACCAGTGGAAATGTAAAGTTAGCTCTTGTCAACATGTTAACTTATCTTCTTCTTCTTCGCATTCACTGGCTGTAAACTTCGGTGGAAAGTTCTGGTTGTTTATCCACCTCTGGACTTTAGACTTGTTTTAGAACCTGAGTGTTGCTTGCACATCTGTTTTACAGATCTGACTTATTTGTATGCAGACTGTCGGTTCCTTGCCTCTCAGGTAGATGTACTCCAGCTACAAAGGAAACCTCCCAATTAGCTTACTCTTGAGACATGCTTGTTGAGGAGGCAGTGGATCTAATCTTGTTTTCCCAAAGAACCCACATAGGGAGCTACCTTATCTTTAGTAAATACCTTACCGATTGTAAATCCTCATAAAATAAAACCAGGATGTTTTCATCGTCTCTTCTATCCCAGGCCTCCTTCACATGCTTCCACCAGGGGCCACAATACACTGAAGACAAAATGAAATATACGGTAAATTAACATACATATATCTTTAGTTAGTTAGTTAGTTAGTCTTTTCTCTTGTGTCGAGTGCAGCACATAGGGCAGAGGTCATGACTCTCCATGCATGGCGGTTCGTTGCAATCTGTTGTAGGTCTTGGATGTTTGAGTGGCCCATGAGCGAGCCTTCCCTGATGATAGTTCTTCGTAGGGTTTTTCCCTTGGTCTTCCACGAGATCTTTTCCTCCTGTGGTGTCCAAATGAGGGCTTGGTGTAAGGAAGTCTTGATTTATCCTTCTAAGGGTCGTGGCCGACTTAGTTCCAGCGGCGTTTTCGTATAAAATTAGACACATACTCTTGCCTGGATTCTTGCCTTATTTGTGTATTGGTTTCGGAAATCTGACCATTTGAAATTTAGTATTCTTCTAAGGCATTTATTTTCAAACTGTCTAATTTTGTGTCTAGAGTTTTTCGTTTGATTTCCAGCTCTCCGCATCATAGGTTAGTACTGGAATCACACAAGAATTGAAGATCTTGAGTGTTTTGTGTGTTTGAACCCCTAAGTGTCTTTGATTTCCAGATGTTGGACAGTTTACTGAAGGCACTAGATACCAGTGCTATTCTAAATGTTATTTCTGGTGCAGGTATTTCCTGTAGATGACATCTTGCTCCCTAGATAAGTGAAACTGTTGACGTTTTCAAGGCTGTTGTTGTTCAGCGTGATATCAACTGAACTGTTTGTAAGGTCTAGAATTTTTGTTTTTGTGGTGTTAATTTTGGAGTCCATTTGTTCTGAGAAATTCTGGAGTCGATTTATTTTTTTCTTGGGCGTCTGTGTGTTCTGAACTCAGGAGAGCTATGTCGTCGGCGAAGTCTAGGTCTTCCAGAATTTTGTCAACCCATGTAATGCCTAAATTTGCGTTATTTATGCACTTGCGCATGACCCAGTCGATTGCTATACCAAAAAGCATCGGCGATAGGACACAGCCTTGCTTCACTCCTGTTTCCACCGGGAACCAGTCAGAATTGCCGGAATCAGTTATTACACAGCATCATGTTTCATTATAAAAAGATTTTATGATGTTGATATATTTGATGGGGAAACCATAGATGTTAAGCAATTTCCAGAGTGTATCTTTGCTGAGGTTTAACAAAAAAGTTTGTACTTGTTAGACAGAACCAATTTTAATATTCACTGTGTTCACTGTCTGTGTGAGTTTTCTCTCAGATCGCTGTGTTCTCTTTTATGTGACTCTTTTTTAATGTGCGTTTTGAATGTAGAATATTTTGTTTAGGAGTGGTGTATTCTGTGACTTTACTATCAGAGTGGGATGATGACTGACAGATATCATAGAATCAATCGGCATGATGTGCTCAAAATTGTGTTACCCGGGTAGGCAGAACTCATCAGCAGAAAACTGTAACTATGTGGGGGAAACTAATAATTTTTTTTAAAACTTTACTGAGAAATGAAATGTGTAAACCTTTTAGGAAAAGGTTGCCCAGTTGGTCATATGTCTTAGAACACTTGTTCCTGCAGCAATGCGCTGCCATCATGTGGAGGTGACAGGCTAAATTCCTGGCATATGGCTTTAGCTTTATATTTATTTGTTTGTTGTCTAGTATGTCCTTCTATCTTTCGATTTTTTTTTCCTATGAGTGCCAATCAACACATGTTTATCTGTTCATTATATTAACTATTTTGTTGATGGCGAGGAATCAACACATATGGTTAACTAGTGGCTGTAGCCGAATCCTGGATAGCAAGTAAACAGTCCACACACACAAAAAGGGCACCATCATCATGATCAACAAAAAATAATTATTACATGATTTTGAAATTAAATGTTAATAATTCTCTTTTTGAAAAATGAAGATAAAGATTTAAACCCAACAGTAAAACAAGATGTCTCTTACCTAGGTCTTCGACAAAAAGCTGACAGAAATCTTCAAACGTGCCAGAGAAGGAAATATCTATATCGGTGAGAAATTTAGCGAGAAAGCTGTAATACGATACCACCGTATCTTTAGGATTTCTGGCAATGTAGATAATCTGTGTGGAAAACAACCAGTGTTAAAAATTATTATTTCAGAAATTATGACATCATGAAGAGATAATATAATAAGTAAAAAATTATGAAAAGGATTTTTTAAAACTGTACCGTCGCCACAATGGAGGTTGGCTGCAATATATATTCTATGCTAATTATGGGAATATTATGGAGGCCCCAGGCTCTTTTACAAGACGACTCTCGTACCACTGTCTCAAAGTCATGAAAGTGGTCTTTTTCTAAACACCCCCCCCCCCCCACCTCCAAAAGTGGGAATTGTATTGTGATGACTGTTGAGGATTTGTATTGTGAAATGAATTCAGAGTCGTACGTGATAAGTAAGGAAGAAGGCAAACAGATACATTAAAGCAATAAGTAATCAGAATAAAACATTCCAGAGATAAAGTGCTAAGTAAGGAAGAAAGACAATTAAAGAGACAAAGTTCAAAATATGGAAGAAAGAAAATGAAAGAGATAAAGTGCTAATTAAGGAAGAGAGAAAACTAAAGAGATCAAGTAATAAATAAAGAAAATGGAATTAAAGAAATAAAGTGCTAAATTAGGATGAAAGAAAATTAAAGAGATAAAGTGCTAAATAAGGAAGACAAGCAAAGAGATAGATGAGATAAAGTGCTAAATTAGGATGAAAGAACGTCAAAGAGATAAGGTGCTAAAAAAGGGAAAAAACTACAGAGACAAAATTCTCACTGAGGAGGACATAAAATTAAAGAGATATAGTGTCAAATAAGAAAGAAGGAAAACTAAAGAAATACAGTGGCTAAACAAGGACCCCCCCAAAAAAAAAAAAGATACACAGTGATAAATAAGAAAGAAGGAGAATTAAAGAGATAATGCTCTAAAGAAGAAGGAAAGAAAATTAAAGACTTAAAAGTGCTAAACAAGGAAGAAAGAAAATTTAACAGACAATGTGCTTCATCAAAAATAGTTAAAAAAAACACTGAGGTAATGTAATTTAGAAAGGATAGTTTTCGTTAAAAAAGAGAGTAGATAAATTACATTCTTTTCTTCTTCACTTTTTCTGTCCTCTATCCCTCAGTGCAGCACAGCTCCTCAACAACTTGTACCAAATCATCAAGTCTTTTGTTATCGTATGTAGCTCATCCTATGACCTCCTCCTCATTTTTTGTAATCTCTTTTTTTTTTCTAATTCTCTGTTCACTTCTCTCTCTCTCTCTCTCTCTGTGTGTGTGTCTGTGTGCACACGCGCGCTCATGTGCGTGTGCGCGCGCGCTATTTGGTCTTCCTTTATTCTGTCAATCCTGCAGACTTCATTGCAAGGAATTTCTATTTATATTGCTATCAGATTTTCTCAATGTACGTCTTTCCTAAAGCCAGTATCTTTTCCTCATCTTTAGATTTAATGGTTATTTACCCTAAATTACCATATGGTGCAGAAGAATGGACAATGCAAAAGCAAAATCAGAACATGAAATTGAAGCCTTAGAAATTTTATACACAGAATTACAAGTTATATATTGTATTCAATAAACAATAAAATACGAACCTTTGGCTTTTTCTGTGTGATTTGGTTTGGCAACAAAGAGAGTGGCAAATGAGATTTAATGAGTCGGGGGGATGGCATCTGGCTAATAGCTTTCTTCCCAGGATAAACAAATTCAAAATATGGAAACCGTTCATCAATAGTTGCTTGAGAAGCTGCCTCAAAGTTGGCATCGTTGACAATCAGGTAAACAATTTCCTGAAGCCAGGTAGTCCCTATAGACAGTATTGTTTTTAAAAAAAGCTGAATTATTACAAACTGATAAATCAAAATACAGCAGTACCTCGACATATGACCTTAATCCATTCCTGATCCTTGGATTTTCACCAAACTAAACACATACAAAATATCCCCCCCCCCCCCCCCTCTCCCCCAATAAGAGGAGAATGAATTTTTTGTTCCCATGAATAAATCTTTTGTTTTTCTTTCAAATATGCATTATGGGGTTGTATAAAACAGTTTAAAAGTTGCTTCAATGCTAAAATAAAGTGCACAAATACAAATGCAATTAGATGAAATAAAAGAGTTGAATTCCTACAAGGATGGTGGTCAGAAGCGAGGAGGAGGAGATATTGTTTGAAAGGAGAGTCGCCTTCCTAAAAAACTTGAGGAATCTGGAATTCTGGCATATTTTCGCATCCTCTGTTTTGTCTCTTTTGCCTACCTGGACCTGGCTAAGGTTTCCCAGGTTTGACTTTCACCAAATCTATCCAAAGAGCTAAGCTTCTGCCTTCTAAGAATGTCTCAGAAATGTGACAATGTCTGGGCATTTCATACAATGCTATTACAGCTTGTTTGGGCTTTGTTGGGGTGGTACTTCTCCGCAAAGTTTTTGACATCCATCCATCTGGCAAACATTTCCTTGATTAATTAGAAAGGTAAACAAGGGTAGCGCATGGTGTCGTGACTCATACAAGTTCTAACATGTGAGTGGTATTCCAAACAAAGGTTGTATATTAAGAAATTTGTTGCGCCTAAAGAGGATATATACCAAGTTGGAACTGTTAAAAAGTGGATACATACCAAGGTACCACTGTATTTAAGGAACTCTGAACTGTAAGTTCAGTGTGGCTATAGCAAGGAAGGACATGAGAAGATGCTTCCAAAATGCCTTTAAATCCAAGGACATTTCTTGGAACTCAATTTAGGTTGAGAAAGACCAGGTAAATTATCCATGCTTGAAGGGAAATGAACAAATAAAATCATTAAATATGTCCTGGGTTACATCAAAAGCCCAAAGCAGAAAGACACTGAATCAGTTACCTTAACAACCTAAAGAATAAATGGAACTAAGTCAGATCTATATCTGAAAGCAGAAAGACATATGAATAAATGTTACCTCAATACCCAAAAGCAAAAAGACTTGGAAAGTTTACAGTAAATGAAGGTGTACAAAAGGACATGGCATACCAGTTAATCTCAAGATTTTTAGCTCAAAATTCTGAATTAGACTTATACTTACCCCCATTTTTAAGTCAATCCATATTTTTGTGTGTGTGTGGGGGGGGGGGGGGGGGGGGGGGGGGTGGGGGGGGGGGGGGGGTGGGTGGTGGGGGGGGGGGGTTAAGAAAAAAACATACCTGCTTTTGGAAAGCTGACAACCCAGATATCATCATCTCTGATGTCAAAAGTATGAATGGCTTTCAAATCATTGATGGCAAACTCTGGAAGGACATATCCTCTGTATCGAAACAAACGAGGTCTGCGGCCATATTCTCGAACACGCAAATCCTCTATGCCTTGTGCTCTTCGAACAAATGCAGAATACTGCCTAAAACCAACTGCACCTAGTAAGCAGGTGCCAATAAATCCTGATAAATAGGTCAACAACAGCAACTTCTGTCGCCTAGATTCTTGGTTTGGATGAAATTTATGTGTGCCTCCTTGAGAAGAGCTTGAGAAAATTTTAGATACATTATTATATCTAATAATTGTGTTGGAACTTTTCTGCAAACCAACATTTCTACACTGTATTTGGAAAACTGGTTTCGTGAAAAATGTATACAGTCTGTTATATGTCTTGGTAGACTTTAAACACTTTGTTTCCAAAACAACATTTGCTTTCCACATGCTCTTTGTGCTCAGTTTATTACAACAAAAGCATTTTGTGAAATGGCTTAGACAGGCCATTTTTATTATGACAGTAGTTAAGACTTTAATAACATGTAATATAAATGTGAGAAATTTAATTTATAAATATCATAATTTTAAAGTAAGATTGTGACTAAATCTGGCTTGAAAATGGCGACTTCTTAAAATCCTGGCTTGTACTCAGAATAGCAGATCTGAAAGTGAATGAAATTGAAAATGTCATATTAGAGAAGTGAATGTTTCAGAATAATGCTGAATGCTTCTTGAAAGAAGACTTTGGTTCATGTAATTTACGGGTGATCTTCTTCCCTCCTCAACTGAGTATCACTTTTGTTAAGAAGCCATCTAGCCTCTTCTACCATCAAAACAAAGCTGTATGGTGTATAAAGAGATCTGGACTGCACGATAGCCTTCGTCATGGCTAACAGCCTCCTGACTTAAGATTTCTGACAGAAGGATCATAAAAGAAGGTTGAGATATGTGAAAGAAGGTCAGAGATGTGTGAGAGGTCAGATAAGTTTGAAAGAAGAAGTCAGAGAGGTGTGAGAGAAGGTCAGAGATTATTGAAAGGTTGGCAAGGTTTGAGAGATATCAAAGATGTGAAAGAGAAGGTTAGAGATGAGTCAAGAGGTCAAAGAGGTGTGAGAAGTCGGAGAGGTGTGAAAGAAAAAGTGTGTGGCAGAAAGTCAGAGGTTAGTGAGAGGTCAAAGAGGTGAGAGGTCAGAGATGTGTGACAGAAGGCTAGAGAGTTGTGGGAGGTAGAGAAGTGTGAGAGAAGGTCAGAGAGGTGTGTATTTAATAAATATAATGAATTGCTCAGAGTAGATATAGCTAACTGTAGAAAGAACTTCTTGGAGTAGCGAACACTACAGGAAGCCTTTGCTCATCAGAAGACGTTCCCCTTCGCCAAATGTTTCAGCCCCTTTGCCTTCGTGACTTTCTGGAATATAGCCTATCCGGCCGAACTCCTGAGTATCTACTCCCATTGGGCTAGTTATTATATCCTAAACAATTTAAAGAAAAAAATGCAAGAGTCTAAACGGGTTATAACAATAACACTATTAAAAGAAAATTTTAATTGTGTTTCCTTTACAGGAGACTGCAGAATCAACTCCAGCATTGTTTTTGGCTATTTGTTATTTCACAGGGTAAGTTTGAGATAGCACTATATCTATGACAAAATGAGGTAAAACAAACATTGAGGTGTGTTAATCTAACAAATTAAATTCTCATGGGGACAATCATGATAGGTACCCTGGAGTGCTACAGCAACAGTGGACTAAGCATGAGTGGGAATGCACAAATTGCAGTGACATCGACTGTGATAATATTAATATAAAACGACATAACATGGGTAATGTAAGGTTCAACTGTCAGATCAGGAATACAGTAATACTTGGTTTTGGTGCTCCAGCTGAGGGAGAAAGAACAGCCTCACTGTTCCTTTTAAAGCATGTCGTATAGGTCAACTTAATATGGGTGTTTCCTTCGAAGTAGGAATGAACTTGCAAGTGGGGCGAGGAACAACTATCTACACAGAAATAAGATAGATCTGTAAAACTAAGTGGCTGTTCACGCAAAACTTAAGTTCTGGAATAAGACAAAAGTCCAGAAACTGTTGAAAAGCCAGAATTTTCCGCCAGTTTACGGTTATTAATTCCATGAAGAAGAAGAACGTGACTGTATCTGCAAGAAAAGCTTATTTATACGAAGAAAAGAGTAACCAGTAAAACGGTCACCGAGTGGAAGATTTAACAGCATAAGACCCACATATTTTTATTCTAATGTAAAGACTTTAGGACTGACATATTCAAGTCTGGGCACTATTAGGAATTCAGAACAAACTCTAACCCCCATACCTGACTAGACCGGGGACATCTTGTTGCGTTCCGCTGCCCGTGTTCCGGGCGAGAGACACTTTTTTGTTAAACAGCCAGTCCTAATGTTCAAACAGGTGCCTTCTCCACTTTGAAGATTCAAGGTATAACATGAAGTCGTCCCCTTGAGGAATGCAATTTTTCGTTATTTTGAAGCCCACCCTGGCTATTGCCGGGTGCCTTAGTATAACCTAACGGTTGAACGGGGTTTCCGGGACCTCTCTACGGGTGATCCTCATACGCATGGTGGCACTTTGTGTCACCGGGTGTTTATCGCTCAGTGTGATGTCCAGGTGGGGTAAAGTTAACCTACCTAGTTTGAAGATTGCATGTAGTAGATATCCAATATACTATCCTTCGCCCAGTACACTCTTTCAAAAATTATTTTTATCTATTTCTTAATGTTAGTTATCCTTCCTTTATTTGAGTCGATGCCTGCTTTATTCTTTTGTTCAACAATTTGGTCTCATAAAAATGTCACTGTCATTTTAAGTTCAGGCATTCATTCCATTGTTGTTCTTTCAGACGAAAATGCTTGTCCTAATGTGTCACATTTGGTTCAGCCCTCTGTCATGGAGTACACGTTCTGCTGTCTGGGGCGTCTTTGCACAAGTGCTCATGGCTAAACGACGCATCTATCTTACACTTTATGTACATAGTTGCGTAATCGGTTTGACATATTTTGAAGGATAATGACCTTTTCTGATCTGTCCATAATAAAATGTTTGTCTAGTGTTGAGGCTGGCGGTTTTCTTATTGATTTAACTATGCTTTTCTTTTGGTGGTATGTAATTGATACCTCCGGCTGCTCTTCTGTCGCATCCTTCCGAATTGTTCATCTCTCTCATTTCCTGGCGCTCCACAATAGAACGGTATCCAGGCGAGCGTGGAGCCTTCACACCAAAGCTGGAGAATTGGCTAGAGAAAGGGAGACCTAAAGGCACGCCGTGACGAGAGTGGCGTTGTCAAGAACCTGTTGACTTATGACTAATGTAATATAATAATATTATAAGACTAAAAATTAAACACTCGTATAGACAGTTCTGCTGAAAATTGCCATTACTGCCTTTTGTTAACCAATTTTGCTGTGTAGACAGGGGCTCTGAGAATTAAGGGTCGCATAGCAAGTGCAGTCGCCACGACCTGTGCAGGTTATGATTTTATTTTTGCGATGAAAAACCTCACCGATGATCTTATCAAGGATTCGAATAAGGATCTCGTGTATATAGTGAGGGCTACAACCTATAGAAGTGTCATAGTTTTGCAGTGAGTGAGATCAAACCAGCAGACACAAGCGAATGGTCGATTATTATAAGTTGTCGGCAGCCCCCGGTCCTGGCACTCTTTCATTAAATCATATTTTTTATTTTATTTTAATGGGAATATCTTCCATATATTTGTGGAGCAGAACCAGGGCACACATACCCTTTTGCGCGAGATAAATAATTAATTCCAGCATTGAGATTATCTCGCGCTCAGTATTTTGGAGACAAAGCTAGGAGTTTCTTGTCAATCGGGGACTATCTACTATCCAGAAATTCCAAATTGACGTCTGCTGTTTGTTCCATGGGTTCCAGAGATCGATCAGTCGACCAGCGTCGGGTTAGCGTTAAATAACTCCACCGTTTGATACACAGCGTTGTTTCTGGTCTCTCCTTTCTAATGTGGTGTAGAACACGGGTTGTGACGTAATCATTTTTATTTGTTTTCATCGTCTGATTCAATGCCGATTCATTTCTTGGATAGCAATCGTAACTATCGCTGATTCACTCACTATTCAGTTCCATAGAGGAGAAAGAGAAAGCTGAGCTACAAGTAAAGCTAACGAACGCAGTGTTTTACTCAACAACGATGTGCTTGGAGGATGGTTAAGGTAAGAGAATACTTGTGCTCAACAGTCTTGATATATTATTAAATCCAAAGATCGTACAAATAATATTATGGCCACGAATCATGAACAGTTAAGAAACCTGTGAGACTGACTGACTGAATTTTACCCCACCAGGACATCACACAAGCGATAAACCCCCGATGACACAAAGTGCCACCATGTGGATGAGGATCGCCGTGGAGAGGTCCCAGAAACCGCGTTCAGACAATTGGCCATATTTATGGCCTGCCTATATTGCGGCCCCTGGCAAAAAACCAGGGTGGGGCTTCAAATAACAACAAATTCCATCCTAAAAAGGGCGAAACACCTATTGTTAAGTCGTATGTTATGTGAGGATTTTGGGGCCCCATTTGTGGGGAGAGAGAGAGGGGGAGGAAGACCCCACTGCTCCTATAACAAGCATGTCGTAAAAGCTACTAATTAGAAGTGTTTCCTTCAAAGTCAGGGTACTCTGCCTGAGAGGTGAGAAACTAACAGTCTGCATACAAATGAGCCAGAAGTGTAAAATAGTCTGCATGCAAAACTCGAACAAAGCCAAAGCCCACAAGTGGACTATCAACCAGAAACTTCTGCTGGAGTTTACAGTCAGTGAATGCTAAAAAAGAAGAGTTTACATGTCAAAAATCCCTTCAGGTGTTAGAGATGTTGTTTTGTTGAATAACATAAGTCACCAAGGTACTTGATGGTGAGGGAGTCGAGTCAAGAATTGACATCACAGCACTCGGGGCATTCCCATGCATGCCCCGTCCTCATCTTCAGCAGCCATTGCAGAGTTCCAATACTGATGGTACTGGTCACAATCTGGTTTTATGTCCATCTTGCCTTTCCCCTGAGTGTAGTGAGCCGGCCAGACCCTCTGGTTACATCCAGATGCCTCATTCTCTCCAGGCCATAATAATCTTTTATCTCTTGATGGTGAATATGATGATTGTTAATTTTAAAATAAAATTAATTCCTAAGCTGGCAGGAGACAACATCATAGTATAATTAGACAGAATCGAGTTAATGACTTTGGTTCTTTTGTGTTTTGTAGTCAAGTGGCCTGGCTTTACTAAGAGACAGAACTATTTTCTGGTACACAGTACCAAAACCTTTTTTGGGGCATTTTTTTAGTGGTGATGTAATAGATACTTTGTGATGAGTACCAGGATTGTTTTTTTAATTACTTCAATGTTGAGTACTCTTTTACTTTAATGGTGAGTACTCTCACTTTTTTTTCTAAAAATAAGTCCAGTTTCTATGAACTTTCCATTGATGAATTCTTTGCCTTT